CCCAATGCTTTCTCAGATTTTGCGTCACCAGCCTATCTATAAACTTAGAACTTTCTCATCCCTCTGGTACCTCTCCTGGTCTCTGGCATCCATCCGTTTAGCTTGAATTTCCTGGTGCTGCCATGTGTCTACCGCCAAAGCCCTGCTGCAGTGGGACACTTTGCTGTTCCAGGAAGAATTTCCTGGAAGACTCGAACCTCTGCTTCCGCTGCATCACCAGCCACAGCACCTGCAAGACCCAGATCCTTCCAGAAAGCAACGCTTGCTAGCCAGACCTTCTCTCTCCATCTTCCCCGGGAATGGGCTTAAAATGAGAGGAGAGGGCAGAGTCTCTGTGCTAGTGAGAACGCCTTCCACTTCTTGCACATGACTGTGACCCGGTAGATTTTAAATATCACAGCTAGCTCATGAAGAAGGAAGTGTTATCCCTACGTCATAAAGGTGGGACCTGAAGCTCAGAAAATGTAAGCACCTTGTCCACATTTACACTGCTAGTAAGTGAGAGTGCTGGGAGCATGCCCTTTGAAGAGGGCAGGGACCTCCCTACATGTGCTTCAAGCCGTTCAGGAAGAAAGGCTGAGTCCTTCAGGCAGCCTGTCTAGCAGTGGGCACACGTATCCTTTCAGAGAAGGTCTTTGTTTAGGGGATGTGACAAAGACAAGATAGTACTTGAAATTCTGCTGTCTTGGCACAAATGGGCTTTTTTGAAATTATACATCTATTTATTAACAGAATTCATCTGTTTATAAATAGCCCATGTTGTGTATGTGGCGTTGAGCACAGAGGTCTTCATTATGAGTCAGAAGATGTAAGTTCTACTTTTCATATGAGCTGGAACTCTGTGACAAATTGCTTTATTATTCAAAATTTTCAGACCTCAGTTTCTGTCTCCTTCACTGAGCTGAGAAAAAGTCCAGGGCAGGGAACGCTTTGGTCTACCCTGTATCTCTAGCCTCTGGGTCAGGGCCCGAGAACCTTGGAAGGTGGAAAGAAATAGGAAGGAGGAAAAGAAAGAAGGAAGGAATTTATCATGTAACACCAGTCATGGGGTCAGTGATGCGAATTTAAACGACTTGCAGGGTTTGTGGAAAGTCATGAGATCAATCTGGGTGGCAAGCTTTTAGGAGGAAATGGGAGCTGTAGCAAAGCCCTCTTTTGCATAAAGGCACAGAAAATGGAATTGACGGGTACATACAATCTAATGCCTTGGCATCTTTCCCCTGCTCCTCCCAAAGCAACTGATACCACAAAATGACAAAGTGGTGAAACAAGAGGACGGCTGTCAACGACATCTTATCTGGCTGCTTCCTTTTCAGTTACCTTTGCGGGTAGCAACAAGAATAGAAAGATTGGAGGAGCCCCTAAGACAAATGTGGAATTGCGACTTAGTTTTGTGCCACCAAACTCACCTCATATGTGTTCTTTGGTGTCCTCAATTCTTTTGACCTTTGCAGACTGAACTCCCATTTGAGGATTGTGCCAGAATTTAAACTGGGAGCCTCAGCTGCAGAGGGCAGAGGAGTCAAGTTAATAAGCTCTCCAGTTCTGCTTCTTGCAGACTCAGTTTTGAAGAAGGCATTATTTTTAGAATTCCTTCTTGCTTTCATCCTGTACCCTGAATGATTAACTCCTAGCGTCTCTCTCTTAATATTAACTCATGTTTCCTCTGCAGTTGCTCCTGGGGAAGCAAGTGTACTTTCAACTCAGGCAGAGACCAGAGGTTTTTTTTTTTAAATCATTTTTAATCTGCCTCTTCCCCTGCAACCTCACCTCTCCATCTTCTGCCCCCATCCCCCATCTCCTCCTATTAAAATCATCTCCACCTGGGCTCCAGGATAACGGCGGCTTGTTTGGGAGGTGGTAACCCTGCGAGATAAACCTTAGATAATGTTTAAAGTGCAGTTTAATTCTTCTGGTGTCTAGACAGGGCAACATCATTGGATCTCCAAGTGGATGATAGCTTTACTTGATTTATGTCATTAAAATAGAGAGGCTGGCCCAGGGTTCCTGGGTTCGGATCCTGGGCACAGACCTATACACTGCTCATCAAGCTATGCTATGGTGGTATCCCACATACAGAAAAAAAAAAGAGGAAGATGGTCACAGCTGTTAGTTCAGGGCCAATCTTCCTCGTAAAAAAACAACAACAACAACAACTGAGGTTGGGATAAAGGGAGAAGGAAGCACACAGCTCAGCATTTGGGGAGTTTGTTGAACACTTCCATGGTCTTTCATAGAGTAGGCAGATGAAGCCACTCTTCACTTATAAATCTACAAAATACTTTAGAAATGTAACTTATTCAGTGGTTTGTTTTTGCCAAATTATCTTTTTACAAATCTGAAAAAAAGTCTCAGGGAGAAAATTATAATTTCCTTTCACTCAGTTCAAAGTCTATAAGTATCTTTCAGATAAATTTTCTTAAGAGAAAAATACACACAAATAGTTACGCTTTGGGAATATTTGTGCCTAAAACTGAAGAACAGGCTCTATGTGAATAGGGAGTAAACCCTAATAATGACTTATCAGATTCAATGTATTATTTATTTATTTATTTATTTATTTTTGAGGAAGATTAGCCCTGAGCTAACATCTGCCACCAATCCTCGTCCCTTTGCTGAGGAAGACTGGCCCTGAGCTAACATCCATGCCCATCTTCCCCCTGAGCTAACATCCATGCCCATCTTCCTCTAATTTATATGTGGGACACCTACCATAGCATGGCCTTTTTTTTTGCCAAGTGGTGCCATGTCCACACCTAGGATCCGAACCGGCAAACCCTGGGCCGCCCAGAAGCTGAACGTGCGCGCTTAACTGCTGTGCCACGGGGCCGGCCTTATTTCTTTTTTTAAAAGATGTGACTATGGTGACCAGTAAAGGAGCCAAAAAAGATGCTTGTGATTAAATGGAAACTTTTAAGTTAATATGAACTTGCAGTAATAAATGGATTCATTTGGTGACCCTGCCAAAATCAGGGGATGTGTTTTAAAGTTGTACTGAGTCTGGTTATAGTGGTTCTTGAGATATAATGATTAGAATTTTAAATAAATGTAATTTATCCTTTAATTCTCTAAAGCAAGTTTTAAATAAAGCCTGAATCCAACAGGAAATCTTGCTATTCATTCTTTGCAAAGTTCCAAGTAGTTAAGCCACAGAAGGAATTTCTGTTTCTTTGGTATGGCTCATGCAAATAAAAATTGGCATCAAAGATGTAAAGAACACAGTGTTAAACTCTGAAATACAAATGACTTTAGGCAGAGGCACAGATGGGCGAGGAGAGGGGAGACAGAAGGAGAGATTTCTCTCCCATGAACACATCGTCCCAAAAAGGTGCCTTGTGTGCAATTTTTAAGGTCACATGTTAACACGATGGCTGTTACGACTTTGATGAAAAAAAGCTTGAGGAAGCCAGAGTGAAATACTCAGATGAAACGTCAGCGGTGAGACTTTGAGACATATAAAAAAGGTCCTCAAACCCTGCCATCTCTTTTATTTGCTCTCTCTCCCACCAAACAGCATCTCTGCTCACATGTTAAAGAAGGAGGAAATATTTGTTGAGAATACAGTCATCCTAATGTGCTAGATGAACGAAGAGGTGTTGCAACCGCGTGTGACAGAATGTATTTGTTCTTTCCTTCTTAAGTACCTTGTATTGTCCTTTACTAAGCTTAAAGCTTGTCCAAACAAGATGAATCACACACACGCGGAGATGTAAACACCAACCTCCCCACTCCTCCAGTAAGCCCCAAATAAATCTGATCTGCTTGGAACGATTGCTTTCACAGCTCCCACTGCTCTCAGGATGTAGTCTGATCTGGTGCGGCAGGTGCAGCCCCGCAGGAGCTGGCCCCTGCACCCTCTGCACCCATCCGTCTCCTCCCTCCCTCCCTCCCTACACCATATTGACTTTGAGGTTCTTGAACCTGCCACTCTCCCTTCTCACACCTCCAAGCCTATTTTTCCTGCTCCCTTCACCTCCATGGCTGCCTGTCTCTGATCTGACCTTCCACAATGAGCTCCCATGTCACCTTGCCCTGAAAACTTTGCTGGACTATCTCCTTGCTCATATCAGGATTGGTACCTGGCCGGTCTGTTCCCACACATGCTGTCCATGCCTCTACCACAGCATCCCACCAATTTGAAACCCTTGGTCTTTTCCTATTGACTGTTTCTTGTATTATAGCACAAAACCTGTCCCACAGTGAGAGTCTACTGTACTTTTGATGAATGAGTGGTTCAATCAGAGGGTGTTTCTAATCTTGTTTCTAGCTCATGTTAGCTGGTTCACTTGTGGGCCTAAGTGGGTGAGGATGATAAATCTTAAATGGTCTGCTTGACAAAAAATATTTTCCTCAGAGTGATTTGGCAACTTGAAAATTAGTGGGGGAGGTAGTGATAGTTTCTGAACAGACGGCCTTTGATTATCTTCACTTATTCAATCTATGAATGCTGGAGATAACAATAATAACTAAAAATAATGAAGACCACAGTTATTATGGATATATGCCAAACATCCTTTTATTGTTCCGAGGGCTGCAATTGCAACTCCAGAATTTGTCTTCTTCCCCCAACCCTGCTCACCCCCAACACACACACACAGACACACACACACACTCCCCTAGAGCCACCTTACCAGATTTTGTCTTTATTAGAGTCCCTAAGACAATGTCACTACATTTCCAAAGTCATAATGGATCTTATAAAGGAAAGCTGTAGAAAATGATGATAAAGAGACCCACTCAGTTGGCATAAGAGGCTCCCCTTTGACCTCTTCAAACAAACCAAGAAATCAAGAGCAAAAGTCATCTAAGAAAGCAAAACTTGAGGGGCCAGCCCCGTGGAGGAGTGGTTAAGTTTGAGTGCTCTGCTTCGGCGGCCCAGGGTTTCACTGGTTCAAATCCTGGGCGCGGACATGGCACCGCTTGTCAAACCACACTGAGGCGGCATCCCACATGCCACAACTAGAAGGACCCACAACAAAAAATACACAACTATGTACTGGGGGGCTTTGGGAGAAAAAGGAAAAGTAAAATCTTTAAAAAAAAAAAAAGAAAGCAAGACTTGGGATATTCTCCCAGCACCGCTCAGCCCATCGCACCAGTCATGTGGCTCTGTGTCAAGTACAAAGTCAGTTCTACAAGTCACCTGGTAGAAAGAAGAGTTATTTTAGAATGATCATCTTGGGAAGCTTATTTATACTCTCTCTGAAGTGATGAGTCCAATGAACTCTTGAACTGGAGAGTTGAAGTCCCTAATTTTTGCTGTCACTTGGAAAACATCACTCAGTAATTTTCTACGTAATTTATTAGAGAGCAGCAAAAGTGGCTGACAACATTATTAGCTGGACTTTTGGTCTGTTTTGGTAAATACCAGATAAAACGTTTTAAGGGTGGGGTTTAAAAGTCTAATTACACAACACTGAAAACAAATGTCTTGATGTCAAGTCTGTATTTTCAAATGGACACGAAGGACTGTCAGAACAGTTCAGCCAGCAATTCCGTGTTTTGGAAAAACGAGGTTATAGGTCTGGCATAGAATATGACATAGACTCTTTTTCTACAAGGTGTAATAAGAAAGAACACTGAAGTAAGAGACTTAAGACTCAGTTTTAGCTCTGGTTTTGCCTGTGCGACCCTGGCCAAGTCACTTCAAAGTGAACTTGGACTTCCACAGCCACGAAATGAAGGAGTGGACTTTTCGTCTCCTTGCATCTCTGACGATGTGTGGGGTTATCCCACATCTGGATAAAGGAGGCCAAATGTTTTTGGCAACACTACCTACCATGGAAAAAACAGCCTTCCCTCGTCTTAGTTGGGGCAGAGGTTAGGCATGCCCTGCCTTCCACTCAGCAGCCATCAGCTGACCAATGTGCCCACAGCCTGTTCCAATGGGTCCACTGGTTGGGATGCTTGTGGAGGCAGTTGGGTTACACCCCCTGACCAAAACCGGCCAGGTAGGAGAGAGGCAGATGTGCCAGGAGTTACATCACCCATCCTCAGGAGGGAGAATGGGGTGAGGGAACACTGGTTCTAGGGCAAGACTCACTCAGGTGATTTGATCTGTGTGTCCAGCCCAAGGCCCTTCACCTGGCCTCAACCCACCTGCAAGGCCGGTGCCTCCTCCTTCTGCTTTCCCCACACCTTCTCTGGGTCTCTATTTCCGTTCTGACTGGTGTAGCTGGCTCCTGCGGGCTCATACAGAAGATAATATAAGTAATTCACCACCCCCTCAACCCTTCTGCACATGTCTTCCTTGTTGCCAGAAGTCTGGTTATGTTCAAGGGTGCCCCCAGCCCCAGGGGGGGAAGGGAAGGTCTTAAAGTCTCAATCCCAGGGGCAAACCCTGAATGGGGTGAGCGCTCACCGCGCTCCCATTCTACTGTCCTCACGAGTGACTGGTTTAGGAATGGCTATATACTGTGGTGTGGTTCTGGCCAATACCAATGTGGTGTGTTCTGGTTCAAGCTTCTAGGAAAACATATATTGTCATGCCTACATGCTGTGCCTGGAGTACCATGGCTGTCTTTTGAAAATGAGAAAGTTAAGTTGCCAGGCTGAGGAGAGCACCAGCAAGAATCAGCTGCGTCCTTGGTACTAAAGCTGAGCTGCCTAACTCAGCCACCCTGGAGCCCCTCTACCTCTCGAATTCTGGTTATGCGACATAACAATTTTTTTCTTACTCTTTGAGTCAGAAGCCAAAAGCATCTTAATGCAGCCCAGGCTAGCATACTGGAGAGGCAATGTGGAAACCCCTGGGCTTTAGAATTAACATGGACCTGGGCTCAAATATCAGTTCCTCCACTAAAAAGTTGTCGCTGGGCAACAAATTACTTCAAAACTTAGCAACTTAGAAAAACAATAAGCATATATTATTGCTCAGTGTCTGTGGGTTGCAAATTTGGGAGGGGCTTGGGCAGGCAACTCTGGCTTAAATTCTCTCCTCCCGTGAGATCGTGAACAGATATGGGTTGGGGCTGCAGCCTTCTGAAGGCTTGACTGGGGCTGGCGGCTCTGCTTCTTAGGTGGCTCACTCACAAGGCTGGTGGGACGGACGCCTTAGTTCCTCCTCATCTCGGCTTCTCCACAGGACTCTTGAAGGTTGTCTGTTTTAAAATATAGGTTTTATCATTATTTAGGCATGGCAAGGCCAAGAGATCAGGAGATCACTGCCAATGAAAAGAGAGTTGGTTGTACTCACGGATCTCAAGAAGAGGGGTCACGTCCACTCCACGGGGAAGCAGCGGGGTCAGCCAGGAGGCAGAGCAGGGAGTGGAGGGAAAATGTGAGCAAGAGCCTTTCCTGTGGTTTTCACAGAGAAGAACAGGCTAGGCAGGCTGAGCAGTCTTAGGATTGGCTCATTTGAATTATTTCAGCAGACTTTGGGGCACAGTTGCTGTCCCTGCTTGTCTAGTACCCAGCCCTGGGATGATTAGGGCAGGCGGATAGTGGTCCAGGAGTGTGAGAGCTGCATGAAGGAGGTGGTTGTGGATGTGGGCTCTGGACTGGTTGCATTGCATTTGAGAGGTGTGCTCACAGACAAGCTGCTTATTTTCTCTAGGAATTGGCTAACCCTAGGAGGTGCAGTCCCTCCAGGGTCAGCAAGACCCCAGAGGTCAAAGTAGCAAAATACAGAAAGAATAGACGTGGTTAATACATCCTCACAGTATGGTGGCTGGCTCTGCCTGCAGTGAGCAATCCAAGAGAGCCAGGCAGAAGCTGCAGTGCCCTTTATGATCCAGATTCAGAAGTCACATACTATCACCTCTGCCATACTCCACACAGACCAGCCCTGATTCAGTGGGAGGAGATGACACAAGAGTGTGAACATCTAAGAGGTGAGGAGCACTGGCAGTCACCTGCAGGCTGGTTACCACACATTTGATAAGTTATGCAACCTCCAAGTGTCAGTTTCTTCATCTGCTAAAAATAGAGCCAATGTTGTGTTAGCCAGACTTCTTGGTTGCAAACAACAGAAAATGACTCTGGCTCACCTATGCAAAAGATGGATTTATTGGATGAATTTGGGGCAAAGCACACCACGGAGGCTATATAACCTTATGGATGTGCAGAAATGAAAGGAGCCCAGGGAGCAAGTAAAGATGTGCAAGGTTGAAGCCTCAGGATTGTTCCAGTTGGGACACTGGTGTTGACACTACCCCCACTGGCCACTGGCTGTTGTCGCCAAAGCTGAATTTCTCTGCTGTGAGTAACTGTCACAGCAGCTCCCTCTGCCCTTAAGGTTCCACAGCATGGGGAGCATGGCGACGGGAGAGTGTGGCCCCTTCTGCTTCCAAGAATTCAGCTAATGTCCACTAGAAATTCCAGTCTCCTGGGATTCTCATGAGGATTCAACAGGAGTATATGAGCCTTCGGAAAACATAGTGATCAGGAGTTGTTGGTTATTGAACAGAAGGAAGAAAGCAGTCACCTTGGAATGGCGTACAGTGGGTTTAGAGATCTCAAGGTGAGGGGGATTGAGTCTTAGATCCTGAAGCATTCTCATAACATTTCTAGACACACTGATCATTTCTAATCGCACCCTCTCCCCACCCCTGCTCTTACACGCATACACAAATTCTAAATTGCTGAGATTTATGCAAATCCTATCTCTACTCTGATCGAGTTGCCCGATGACCAGAGCTGGAGGCAAAAGAACAGTACGTGATTAATTAAGAAAAGCTAAAGTGCAAGCTTCCTATGAAATTGCAACCCTGGTTCCTTGGGAGCCTGATGTGGTCCACAGTCAACCGCACTCTCTATGTGATGGTGGCTCCCATCTGTGCTCTCAGTCCCTTTGCTTCCATCTCAGTTTGAATTGCTGAGCCATGACAAGATACCTCTGCCCAGAGAGCCTGTGTTTTTCTAGCTGTGGGTACGGGCCTTACTGTTCAGACTCAAGGCTTTTGTTCAAAGTGTTTCACCTCCCTTGGATTTTAACTGAGGTTGACGTGTTTACCTTAGGTCAGTGGTTCTCAAACTTTAGTGTTCAGGCTGACTGATAGGAGGGCTTGCTAAAACACAGATTGCCAGGCCCCACCCCCAGAGTGCCAGATTCAATAGGTCTAGGGTGGAGCCTGAGAATGTGCATTTCTAGTAAGTTCCCAGGTAGTGCTGATGCTGGTTTGGGGCTACACTCTGGGTCACCTGATGCTGGTGCAGGACTGCTTTGTAAACTCCTTATATTCTTCCTAAACATTGCCTTTCATAGAGAAAACCAAGACATCACTCACAGAGCAAAATTCTATGATGCTGAGAAATAAATACTGAAACATGATTTCAGTTATAAAGATATTTGATTACATGGAACTGAAACTTGACCATAGGAGCTTAACCAGATAGCAGTTTATTTTTTTTCCTCCCATTCTCAAGAAGACCAGGGGCTGTCTAAGGCTGGTGAGATGATGCCACGTGATCAGGGGCTCAGGCTCTTGCTAACTTTCTTCACTGCCATCCGGTAAATTGTTATTGCCCTCATGGTCACAAGATGGCTGCCACATCTGCAGGTATTGCCTCTGCACTCCAGGTAGGAAGAAGATGAAAGATGAAGAGGAAATGCACATGTGAGCTTTTCTGAAAGCCCTTCTATAGACTTCTGTTCCCTTCTCATTGGCCAGAACCATGTCAGTTGGCCCCACCTAGCTTCAAAGGAGCCTGAGAATTCAGGTAGTTTTAGCTCAGCCCTTGTTGACCCAAATAAAAAGGGGTTCTGTTACTGAGGAAGAAAGGGAGAATGGGTGGTAACCAGCAGCCTCTGTGTCAGCACTCACCTGCTCAGCTCCCAAAGGACCCAGACGGCTGACTCTGGCCAAGTCTATGTACAGTGCTAAACCCACCATACCACGGGTGAGGGGCCGAAGACAGGACATGGAGACATTGTCTACACTAGCATTTCTTGTCGCATGCTAATGGATGTTACGTGAAAAGGGCAAATTCTGGGTCAGAACTTGTTTCTATAGGACTGAGAAGTTTTATTAGGCTGAGGTATGTAATGACTTTCCAAGATAGGGACAAACACGCTGCATTTCCCAAGTGTATCTGACCACAGAAGCTTTTAAAAAATTTTCCTGGAGCATCTCTCCAAACTAAGGTCCACAGGACGTTTGCCAAGAAACCTTGATGTACACAGCGTCGACTATCAGTATGTTTTCAGAACCCCCGTACATGGAAAAAGCTAGCATGCTCTTCTTGAATCAATAGACTAGCCTATTTTTTTAAGGGGAAGGAAGTGAAAATAGGAACAGCTAGTAAGTCAGGACACGGGGTGTGGTGCTGGTCTGCTGTCTGGTAACTGCGTGAGCTTGACAACCCCCTTGCCATCTCAGAAGTCTCCGGTTCTTATCTGCGAAACAAGATCTATAGCAGATGACCAGGTTGCATGCAACAAACCAAAATTCTGCAACTTCACAGCTCCTGGAAACATCAAGAAGTGATGTCTGGATAAATCTTTGCTAATGGGTGACAGGAGAACTAAAGAAAAATGTCTAAGATTAAAAAGTCTTTCAGAAGTCAGGAATCATTTTAAGGGAAAAAATACCTTAATGAATATAAAAGATGGAAAAATGAGGGATTGCATTAGTTTCCTGTGGCTGCCTTAACAAATTACCACAAATTTGGTGGCTTGAAAAAACACCCAGTGTATTATCTTGCGGTCTAGAGGCTAGAAGTCCCACATGGATCTCACTGGGCTCAACTAAGATGTCAGCAAGGTCACATTCCTTCTCCAGAAGGCCCTAGGGGAGAATCCACTTCTGCACATCTTCCAGTTTCTAAAGGCTGCCCACCTTCTTTGGCTCAAGGCTCCCTTCCTCCAAACCAGCAATATTGCATCTCACTGATCCTTCTCCCCTGTCACATCTGCCTCTCTGGCCACAGCCAGGAAGGGTCCTCCCCTTTAAGGAACCATGTGATTGTGTTGGGCTCACCCAGAGAATCCAGGATCACTCCTTCTTTTAACGTGCTTCGTCACGTTGTCAGAGTCCCCTTTGCCATGTAAGGTAGCATATTTACAAGTTCCAGATGTCAGGAGGTGGGCATCTTTGGGGGTGGGAGGCATTATTCTGCCTACCATGTGGATGAAATCTGTTTAAAGAAGTTTAGGTGTTGAGAAACTAACAGACATCACGAAAAATTGAAGTTAGGCTTAATAATTTGTGAGGCAAAAAGAGGTAGAGAGGGTTGAATAAAAAAAAAAGTCCAAGAAAGGAGATAAGTTACAACATGAACAAAAATAGGGCAACACTAGTTAACAGTGTTAGAAGCACATTAATCCTTTGTGAAAAAAACAGAGCAAAGAGCAGAGGCTTAGTTTGGGATTGTTTTTTGCTGTTTTATCATACCTTCACAAAACAGAACTAAAAATTGCACTATTTAAACAGCTAGAATGTGTTAGCTGTAAACTAAGTTCGTCCTGCAGGAGGTCCTCCAGGGGTGGAAGGTTGGGGGAAGCCCCAAGGATGGCCTGAAATCATCGCAGAGCCCCGACAGTGTTTGGAAGGATTTATAGAAACCTGGTGACATGAGGGCAGCCTTTGTTTAGCAGCTTCAGGATGTGGAACAAAAAGGAACGTGGCATTTACATCCAAGGTGAGAGTGGGCTTGGGGCCGAGGGTGGCAGAAGCAACAGTCCTAGGGTCAATAAGACAGTAAGAACCAAATTCAAGGGACCCACGTGGAGGGTACACCCATGCTTTCTCAGCCTCTGCACCGTTGCCATTTTGGACCAGATAATTCTTTGTGGTGGGAGGCCATCCTGTGCATCGTAGGAAGGTTAGCAGTATCCTTGGATCCTGTGCACCTGAGGCCAGTAGCACCCTTCCCCAGGTTGTGACAACAAAGATGTCTCCAGGCATTGCCCAATGTCCCTTGGGAGGCAAAGTCGCCCCAGCTGAGAACCCCTGGTAGAAACTGAGAAAACAGGTGAGGGGCAGCAGCAAGCCAGCCGGCAGAGCCTGAGAGCCTGGAGAGAGTCTCTGGCTGCAAGGGCAGGAACTGAGGGATCCTTCTACAGGAACTTTTGCTGGAGCTCCTGGGCTGGCAGGGAGCCACCAGAGCGCCCAGCTGGTTTGCATATTGGTCTCTGAATTGGCTGTGGCAGCCTCCAGGTCGAGAGAGCTCAAGTACAATTGGTTCAGGGATCACACTCTGGCTATTGTCCATTTGTTATGCAAGCATAGGCTTTAGAAGGCATGTCACCTGGGCAGGTGACATGCTTGTTTGCAATCTAAACAGCTTGGGACCTATTCTCTTGTTTTCCTTCATCTAGGTTAACTGCCAGTTCTTCTGACCCGATTCACTGAGTAGGGAGAAAAGGGGGACTGTGGAGGGACTGGTATGCAAGCTGGGCCACCTCAAGCCGCATTAGACCGATGATGTTATGCAAAGTGGAAAAAGTGCACCCCTCGTGGATGAATTAGAAAAGGATGTCCCTCTGGGAGGGTCAGGAGCAGGGCTAGGAGAGCAGGTGGCACATGTGCAGCCCTGGCCCCACTCCACATGGCACCCTGCACAGTGAGCACCCGCCCCGCCCCTGGGGAGGCCAAGCTCTGTCTCCCACACTGTGTCGTACCTGTCACCGGAGACAGAGGTTCATACATGGAAACCTTGGGAATCAGGCACAATACTGGGGAGCCCCAAACTCTGAGAGGTCCTAAACTTTCTTACAGCAAAATTAGAATTTTGATACAACACATGGTCAGAAACAAAGGCAATCTATTCTGTAGGAATGAGGGCAAAGTAGTTTAGAAATCATCTAAGGGAGGAAAAGCCAAAATGGACAGCCAGGACAGGCGGTACCCAGTTGCCTGTGTGTGTGGCCAGAGGAGCCTATTCATTTAGAGACTTAGGACCGAGGTGATGAGGGGGACGCAGAGATTCACAAGAGAGCTGCGCTTGGCGAGTGAGGCAGACCTCCGAATGCCTCCTGTTTCAAACACCAACCGCCCCAGGCCTCTGATCAGGAGATGCCACTCCCCAGAGCAGATCATGGTGTGCTGTGTCACTCCTGTGAACTGGCTTTGATGACCCCGGAGGACCAGCCTTGTTAACCTCCTTCCTGGTTGGGCAAGGTGTCATCCTGCCAAAGGGATGGACAAGAGATTCTAAAGTCAGAAAACTCTCACCAAGTGCAGATTACAGGTTATGGATGGAGACCCTGAAGCAGAGTCGGGCCAGCCCCTAACAACTGCAGGGCCTGAGGCGAGAGCATGAATGGAGGCCCACACTTCTAACGTCTATTTAAATAAAACTTGCTTGAGCCTTGTATTTGGATAAATATATCCTCATAGCAACAAAATTGGGGAAAAAAGTGAAATTTATGTTTTTTTATGATGTCAAATTGGCAAAAAATTTTAAATGACTATTCCATTATCATTGCACACTTGTGGGTGTTCGATTAATGAGCTGATATGCTTAAACTTTTTATTTTTTCTCCCCAAAGCCCCAGCACCCAATTGTATACCCCAGTCGTAGGTCCTTCTACTTCTTCTACGTGGCACGCCACCTCAGCATGGCTTGACTAGTGGTGTGTACGCCCACACCCAGGATCCAAGCTGGAGAACCCTGGGCCGCTGAAGCGGAGCGTGAAAACTTAACCACTCGGCCACGGGGCTGGCCTCAAGGGCTGATATGTCTAAATGAGCAATACAATAAAGACACACAATTCATGTATGGTTATATATTTATCCATAAAATTAATCTTCCTGGTTTTCATTTCAGCAAAACCACTAATTATGTTGTTATAATCAATATTTTCACATCATTTGAGTCCTATTAAAAGTAATGCACACTAGATGACCTTTCTCGAATCTTTGGGTTTTTTTAAATTTTCAATGTGGAGAAATTTTGCTCTGCAGAGGCAGCAGCAATTGAAATCGTCAATAAAATTCTTAAAGCAATACTTTGATTTGGAAATGGATCATGAGTTTTATATACCAACATTGTAATTGGGTTGCATCTGATATATTCATGATCACAGACACTGTTACAAATGTTTTAATTTCATCCTATAAATCACCATCATTTATTTCATGATTTTCAAAATCTCTTAAAACAATATTTAAAAATATACAGATCCATATAGTGTTGTAAAGAGTTGATATCATGCTTCACACATATTATTGGTGCACCTACATACATCTGCATTTAAGTGTACCGTGAACTGTTGTGGATATTGTGCTAATTCACGAATAATTCCAGAACCATCCGTTGGAACATGAAGAGAAACCAGAGACTGTTGCAGGCGGGCCACTTGGAGAGGAGGATGGCACAGCTACGTCATCTTCCCTCTCTCCCAGGAGCTTCTACCACCAGCATCTTCCTCGCTCTCCGAGGCAGCGTCAGATCTGAGGTCAGCAGTGGCACACTCTACAAACCTTTGCAGCTTTGGGCGTGGTTACCTTCTGCTTGGAGAACACGGGGCAAAAGATGTAGGGGATACCTTGGGGCCTGGAGGGTGTCAGTCACCTGCAGATGTTCAGCATTGGGGGTTACACTGAGCCCGTGCCATGTGACAGAGGGCCTTCTAAAGTGATGGGCCCAGGACCCCGCCCACCCAGGGTGATGGCCAGTACTGCACTTCTTGCTAAATAACCATATAAATATTACTGTAGTGGATTGAATAGTGGTCCCCGAACAGATATACCCACATCCTAGTCCCTAGAACCCGTGAATGTGACCTTATTTTTGCAGATGTGTTAAATTAGGGGTCTCGAGATAAGATCATTCTGGATTATCTAGGTAGGCCCTAAATACAATAATGTGTCCTTCTAAGAGACAAATAGAAGAGAGACAGAGGGAGAAGGGGAGAAGGCTGCATGAACTTGGAGGCAGAGACTGGAGCGATGCATGCAGCCCCAAGCCAAGGAATGCCCACAGCCGCTGGAAGCTGCTAGAGGTGGGGAAGGATACTCCCCAGAGCCCTCAGGGGAGCACCGAGCTGCCAACACCTTGCTTTCAGACTCCTGGTCCCTAGAGCTGCAAGAGAATAAATTTCTGTTGTGTTAAGTTACCAAATTTGCGGTAATTCGTCATGGCAGCCCTAGGAGATGAGGGCTAAGTACAATTTCCCACAATGTCCAGCATTTGTCAGGGCTGATTGTGTACCAGGCACTCTGCTGAGCCCTCTCTACAAGCATCATCTCACTTAAGCCTCACAAGGCACTGTTCTCACCCTCACTTTACAGAGGAGCGGAGAGAGGTTCTAAAAGGCAGGAAGCTGGCCCGAGGCCACGTGGCCAGGAAGCTGGGATCTGAACCCAGGTCCGTCTGCTGCAAAGATCTTAGAGCACCCGGAAGCCTCCTCGCCTGGTGACACAGCCGGCTGTAAGATGGATTTACCCTGTGCTTGGTGGCTTCTAGCTGAATGTCACCTCCTCTTTGTCCCCCTACTTAAAAGAGGCCCACATCTTTTAGCACTCTCTGCTCTAACCCTCGGCAATTTACCACCACCTCAGAAGTGAGATATAAATTACAACAGACCATTCTTCTAACTCAACCGATCATGGGAACACTGTTTGCTGTTACAAAGAAACATTCTAGGCATACACAATCACGCCTAGTTCTTTGCATCTATTTATCCTCGGGGTCATTCGGGTTTATTCGCACACATTGCCAAGATGAATCAGAAATCTGGAGAAACCATTTGTTCTTGGAGAAGGACAGCAGTCAGGAGGGTTTTTTGTTAGTTTCTTTTTGTTGATTTTGAATTTGTATGAAGACTATGTCCCGGTCCCAGGAGAAAACAGACAGAAAAGTTTGTTTTCTTAAGACTTAAAATATATTCTCTGAGCTCACTAAGCCATCAGAACATGCCGCTGGGCTCTGACGATGGCGTGATTTAGGGAGTAAGCATTTCTTTCCGCTCTATGTTTGCCCTGTCTTTTGGGGACTAGAAGAGATTGTTGTCCATCTGCTGACAAGCCCCAAAACTGTGTGTGTGTGTGTGTGTGAGTGTGTGAGTGTGAGTGTGTGTGTGGTGTGGCTGGGGGAAGGGGGTCTGGATGAGGTGGTTACTTTTATGTTGTTACCCTTCATTTATTTTCTTTCAAACAAAAGCTACCCCATTTCACAGGTGGAAACACTGAGTCCTGGTGGATGGAAACGATGTTCTCCAAGGTAACTCAACCAGACAGACTTAACTACAAATGCCATGCTGTCCTCTCAAGAAACCATTCCATTTAGTGAAAACGAGACCGGTTATGCAATGAGTTTGAGGCTAATTTTAAAGCAAGTCATGTGTCCTTCCCGTTGCTCTGACCCAAATACGAGACAGGGACTCAAAGTTGCACACAAAGAATACCCAAAACAATCAGGACACTCGACATGAGCCATCTGGTTGATGACGGGAATGCAAGCGTCATTTTTCAGCCACCGCAAGGCTCCGGCACTGGGGACTCGTTCAGCGTTCCAGTTAGGACACCGCCCGGAGACTGTGCCAGGGACCGGCCCCAGGTCGCTAGTTCTGTCTGCAGCCAGATTTCTAGAGCAGTAAAGAGAAGCTAACCTAACCTCTCTCACAAAGGTGGCTTTGTGCTGTGCTGACCAACAGCAGTTAATAGGGGTTTGAAGCCAGGGCCGGGGGCTTTCTCCTGAGGGCTGACGGGAGGGGAAGGACAGAGTCCTTAAGGGGCAGACACGCGTGAGCGCAGACAGAAGGTGTGGCCTGATGCAACGAAAGTCTACGCTGATCCCGCCTTTCTGAACCCCTTCTCCTGTCCAGGTCTGCAGCGCGCCGTCACTGGGCCCGGGCCCTAGGGCTTCCCTCTTCTCTCACGTCTCTCAACCAAAACCCGCTGGGAAAGAAGACGAGAAATTCATCCGCATCAAGGAGAACGGACAAATTTATCTTCCTGGGAGCGTCCCGGAAAAATAATGGGTCTCTGGGCAGTTTCAGGTATCCGAGAAGTCAGGTCGGAGGGGTGGGATCTGCTCTGGGGGCAGGGAGTGTTGGGGGGCCTGGGGCTGGAAAGTCGGGGGAAGGCAGGACGGGCATTTTCAGAAAGGCAGGCAGAAGTCATCAGAAGAGTCCAGGGGCCGGCCGGTGGCGCAGCTGTTAAGTGCGCACGTTCCGCTTCTCAGCGGCCAGGGGTTCGCAGGTTCGGAGCCCGGGTTTGGAGACAGCGCTGCTTGGCAAGCCATGCTGTGGTAGGCGCCCCGCCTATAAAGCAGAGAAAGATGGGCACGGATGTTAGCTCAGGGCCAGGCTTCCTCAGCAAAAAGAGGAGAACTGGCAGTAGTTAGCTCAGGGCTAATCTTCCTCGGGGACGGGGAATAAAAGAAAGGAGTCCTGGGCCCGGCCCCGGGTGGAGTGGCTAAGTTTGGGCGCTTCGCTTCAGCGGCCCAGGGGTTCCCGGGTTGGAATCCTGGGCGGAGACATGGCACTGCTCATCAGGCCACGCTGAGATGGTGTCCCACATGCCACAACTAGAAGGACCCACAACTAAAAATATACAAGTATGTGCTGGGAGGCTTTGGGAGAAAAAGGAAAAATAAAATCTTAAAAAAAAAAAAAAAAAGAGAGAGAGAGTCCAGCAGCAGATGAAGGAGCTAAGGAGGCAGAGAGCAGAAAACCTTGAAGTCTAAACTCCCTTTGGGAGTTACCCGCTTTTCCTTAAAGTAAAAGATTTAAGAAAACCGAGTGTGTATATAAAGCTCACTCTATACTTTCATTCATTCATCCATTCCAATGAAATGGTATTTCCTGTGTTCCAGATACCAGAGAGAGAGCCAGGAAGAAGATATGTCAGATCTATGCATGGAACCACGGAACTTTCTGTCTGGCTAGCAGGGGAGGCTAACAAACAGAACTTCATGTGGATGTTTTGAAACAAGAAAGCAGGGTAAGGAGATAAGGGAGCGATGGAGCCCGAAGGCAGCTGAGGGGCCCGCAGTGTCTGGCTGAGCTGGTGAGGAAGGGCATCCTTTGTAGGGTTGCCAGGTCTAGCAAAGAAGAACACGGGGCACCTAGTCGCATTTGAGTTTCAGATAAACAGTGAATACTCTCTCAGGATAAGTGTGCCCCGTGCAATATTTGGGACATACATGTAACTAAAAATTGCCATTTGTCTGAAATTCAAATGTAACTGGGTGTCCTGCATTTTATCTTGCACCTCTACTGCCCTGGGGCCCCCAGGAACGAGGTGGGGAGAGAAACAGTCAGCCCAAAGATTGCCAGGCAGAAATGGGCTTGGCTCTTGTTCCAGTGTGGCTGGAATAGAGGGAGGCAGGGAGACGATGGTAGAGATGACCCCACAGAGGCAGGCCCGCTAGGAAGAGTTTGCGTTTTATCCCGATCAGTAGAATTTTAGGGAACACCCTCACACTGCAATTCTTCATTTCCATGAATATTCCAGTTTAGTATTGTGTTTCCCGAAGCAGGTGCCACTGACCTTGCTTTAAGGCCAGACTTTAGAATGGGAGACTAGGTGTCCCTGCCCTGGGTGTCTCACCTAAATTTACCTGACCTCCCCTCTCTCTTTTCACCCCATTCACTATTGTCTGCAGTTTTCCTAGTGCTAGACAGTCATCGTACCATAAGAAATGAACTTAAAATGCTACTGGGAGAAGAGATTTAGGGACTCAAATTCTCACTAGTGTGTAAATGACTATTAGAAAGTGTTTTGAAAGTGAGGAAGGGAAGAGCGTATAGCACAGGTCAAGGGAAGGTGGGAAAAGAATAAAAAAGGGAAATTTGAGGGCGCTAATGCCAAGCTTGACCAATTTGCCTTGCTGTGACCCTGAAGCTGAGCGTTGGCTGAGCAGAACTGCAAACCAGTTCTCCCCACTCTCGGTGTGGAGATGACCAAGAGTCTGTCGTGGAAGAGAGATTCAGAGCCAGGCCGGCTGCGAACCGATACTGCCAGATGGCAGAGCAGTCAAAATATTTAGCTGTGAAGCCCACACTGTGTTCGGGAAGAGGCTGAACTCACCTTCCTGCCGCAGACCCTGGTGGGCTCCCGTCTGTGGGTGCTGCCTGCCTCCTCAGCCGGCCGCTTCGGTGACTCACTGAGTGGCTCACTGAGTGACTCACTGAGTGACTCAGGCTGGGCTCTGGTGGTTCATCCCTGGCAGGGATTTAGCCAGCTGAACCAGCTTCCTCTCCCGCCTTCTAGTAAAAGATATCCTGTGTCGAAAACAGAGCCTTGACTGTACTTCTGTGAGAACGGCCCTACCTTGCTTCCGGGGAATGTGGGGTTTTCTGGACCCAATAACACACAGAAAAGCAATATTGCTCTCCATGTTATAGAGGGGAAACATTGTGAGAAGACGGGCTTGCCCAGGTTCCGAGTGCTGGCGGGTGCACTTGAACGCCCGAGTCTTTTCTATCACACTGAGGGTGGTGAGTCCATTTGAAGATTCCTTAATGACGTGTGCAAGATTGCATAACTACTTGCTGCCCTCTGAAACTGAAACGTTCTTTTTCTATAAAATCATGGTTTAGAAACCAAGAGCAGAATCTACAAGGGAGAAGTTGTTTCCCCCCATGTTTTGAAAAACATTCATTTCAGATAATGAATCCCTGGGTGATGGACTGGTTGATTCTTTCAAAAGAATTTAATGACCCCTCCATTATACAAATAAGAAGCGTTTATTGCAGAAACTTTGGAAAAGTTAGAAAAAAACAAAGGGAAAAATAAAAATCACCCGTCATTCTCCTAGTTAGATATAATTGTTGTTATTTTGATGTGTGGCCAGCCCTGGTGGTCTGGGTTAAGATGTGGCGCTCTCACTGCACGGCCCAGGTTTGTCTCCCATCAGGGACCACACCACCCATCAGTCGTTGTCACACTGCGGCAGCTGTGTGTTGCTGAAAGCTCTGCCACCGGGATTTCAAATACCAGCAGGGTCACCCATGGTGGACAGGCTTCAGTAGAGCTTCCAGACTCCGACAGACTAGGAAGAAGGAGCTGGCCAGGCACTTCCAAAAATTTTGACCATGAAAACCCTGTGAATAGCAGCAGAGCATTGTCTGATGCAGTGCCGGAAGGTGAGAGGATGGCGCAGAAACACCCGGCAGGGTTCCGCTCTGCTGTACGCAGGGCCGCTAGGAGTCGGAATCCATTCCACGGCACAAACGACAAAAATTTTAATATGTATCCTTCCTTTTTTCATACACATGTGACCATATTTTAACAAATTGGAAAAAATGTGCTATAAACTGATGAATGATACTTCCATGAGCGTTTTCTCACATCAGTTTCTTTCCAAGCGTCTTTGATCCATAGCACACACTCTATCCTACGGATGGTGTACTTCATTTACTCCACCTATTGAGACTTTTAGCCTGTTACCATTTTTTTTATTATAAACACCACCACAACAGGCTTGCTTGGTCTTATAAATATTTAGTGATGTTTCCACCCGGCCATTTGTATGGGCTTTGGTTTGAGAAAAACTGAAAATGGAAGAACAGAGAAGGTTAATAGACATTAGTTTGATTTTTGTCTGGCGGAGAAGGGAGAGAAGGAAGGGCAGCCATCTCAAGTGTCCCCTCTGTAAAGGTCGTTTCCGTCCCCCGGGCTCTTAATTCTGTTTGTCTGACTTGCCTCCTGTGCGCTTTACCATCTCCGTCTCCCCACAGCTCCTCACCTTCTCGCCACCCTGTCACAATCTCTGTTTGCCCTCATCACACTCTGGGGGCTCTCCTCAGGGCCTCCCTGGTCTTGCCCGCTGTTGATGAAGGTTTTCTGTGTCTCGACTCAGTGCCTGAGAAGTTATTTCTAAGAGCAGCAAGTGAAGGATCCCGGCACAGTGTATGAAGTCATGCCCATAAAGCTCTTCGGCAAATCACTGCATTGTTCCACCCGTTGGGTACAGCCCGCAATGCGGCTGCAACTGACCGGGCCCAAAGACAAGCAACAGTGGTGTGACCTCTGGACTTGTCTAATTTCTCCACTGGACTAAGCAACTGCCCCTCCATTCCCTTCCCATCAGGCACTATCAGTGTGTCAGCTCTAATAACAACTAGAAAAATGGGGACAATCGTTATTCCCAAGCTACAATTTGAGAAACATCTAAGAGAGTCATAAAATCGAATAAGGCTCAGCAGAGTGCCTTTAGGAAAAAAAAAAAACCATCTCATTTGTTGCAGGTTCTTAAAATAGTTCCCAATGCTGTCCTCCACCTTCACAATTATTTTTGTCTTCAGTTCTAAATCTGAATGGCACAGAGCAGCAGAATTTATACATTTAAGTTCATAAGAGAACAGACAGCTCATTAATTCTTAACGTTGGTGGGATTTGACTGTTTGCCATCGTATGCTCCATTCCGAAATATGTCTGGGTCTGCTTTTCTGAGATGATTAAAGTGTCTTATTGATAACCTTGCGGCTGTTAAGAACACGGTGCCCTTCACGTATGAGACAAGGTTACACGCCCCTCCCACCCAAGGGAGGGTGTGGGCAACATCAACACGAATCATCTCACGTTTATCCATTCACAACTTCATTTAGTCAAATATTTGAGATTTTCCCATGTGCCAAGCAAGAGAAAAAGCCCTTGTCTTCCAAGGGGGAGACAAATAAGCAAATTTGTAACATAATGAAAATGTTACAAAAAAAATAAAGCCAAGTAAGAGAATGGAGTGTGTGGGGGGATGGGGGTGGTACTTTAGATCTGGTAGTTAGGGAAGGCCTCTTTGGGGAGGTGGCATTTAAGTGCAGGAACGAGGCATGGAAATAACTATCAGGAGGAGCAAGGCCAAAGCCCTCGAGATGGGAAAGGCTCCACGAGAGAAGGGGAGCAGCGAAGAGGTGAGGGTAGCTGAACGCAGCGAGGCAGGGAGAGGGAGAGCTGAGGGGGCCGGGAGCCAGCTCAACGAGAGCCTGTCAGCCACGGACCTTGGTCTGCTCCACCATGCTCTCTCCCAAGTGCCAATTCACTGCAGACTCTCACGGTCCCTGAATCCAGCGGTGACCACCTTGGGTCCCGGCAAGCTGGAAGCCCTTAGGGATTCCTGGGAAAGCTCTGGGTCCTGTAAAGTGGTCACTGCGGCTGCCAGGCCCACCCTTTTGGTGGTTTTACAATTCAGATGAGCTGCTCCTACAGCCTAGGTCTGCTGCTATACCACCACCTCACTTAACCATCGACTGCTGTGTGGGGATCACAGTTCCTGAGTCCTCCTGTAGACCATGTGATCTGTATGTATTTCCCCCCATCCTAGAGAAGGAGGCTGAGTTTCAGGAGGTTAGGGACAAGGTCACATTGTGCCTTAGTCAGTTCAGGTTGCTATAACAAAGTACCACAGACCAGGTGGCTTATAAAATCTGTTTCTTGGTCGCTCTGGAGGCTGGAAGTCTGAGATCACGGTGCCAGCACAGGTGTCGGTGGGACCCGCTTCGGGTTGCAGACTGCCAGCTTCTCACTGAATCCTCATATGGAGGAGAACAGAAAGAAGTGGCAAGCTCTCTTGTGACTCTTCTAAGGGCACTAATCCCACTCGTGAGGGTTCCACCCTCACGACCTCATCTAATCCTAATTACCTCCCAAAGCCCGTCTCCTAATACCATCACGTTGAGGGGTAGGGTTTCAACACAGGAATTTGGGGGGACACAAACATTCAGTCCATGACACTTGGTTATTGAGTGAGGGTGGGATTTAAATGCAGATCTAATTGACTGGAAAGTCTGCTTTTCTTACATCACGTTGCCTAATCCTTCCTGAGCACTTCTGTTCATTGATCAAAATATTTAGTGAACATCTGCCGTGTGTTTGGTGCTGTGCTGAGCATCCCCGAGGGACGGAGACACAAATAAGAGACAGTTCCTGCCCTCAAGCATCTAGAATCAAGTGAGCCGTCTAGTCTATAATACATCCCCAGCATGGAGTGGGATTATAACACAGCTCCACCACCACACACACACACACACTCACACTCACACACACACACCCCGTTTTGGACTTTCTCACACAGACATTTGTCTTATTCTTCTCATTAAAGAAACTTGCCAGCTGCCAGGCAGGATGGGCCACTGCCAAGCGTGAAAAGCATGCGTTGACCCATCTGGCCTTGGTTGACATTGGTACTATTGTTCACAGTTGGATTTCACTTAAATTTGGATCTTAATTGTCACTTTAAAAAATCTTCAAAAAGATCACCCTATGTTGCAGGGCTAAAATGGTAAGACGTCACTGTAGAAGCCTGGCCGTCACACGTCGGCGATGCAGCCGAAGGGCAGCAGGAACTGCCACGTCTCTGAGCTCTCCCAGCAGTGTCAGAGCCAAGCCCAGGACTCACTCAGGCATTTGAAGGACGAGCATTCAGGTGGAGAACACACAGCTCTATCAGAAGCTTCCAGACGACTTTCTAGAGAAGGTGTGATACTTCCAGTGGTATCTTATTCAGCTCGGGAATATATGAACTACAAGTTTAACCACATCGGTGAAATGTCTCAAAATGATCTCCATCACAACAGTGCCTAAGAGATTATTCTCAGCGTCAGTACCCTGGTCGTTTCCTTTGCTATAGTTCCCATAATTTGAAATTACTTTATTTGCTTGTCTTTGTTTCGCGATGAGGTTATCTTTTCATTGTTGTTTCTCCAGCACATGGCAAAATGCCTCAAGCAGAGTCGGGTTGCGGGAAGCAGAAGCTTCTGAGATGCTGTATACCCACCGTGGCCAGGACGATTTACAACTCTTTCTTTAGTGTCTGGGAGAAGCTTGGTCTCAAAAGTTTTATTGTGACGCTGAAAAAAATAAGTGCTATGTTGTTGTCTAAATAAATATACGCTACTGTGAGTTTTTTAGAACACAGAGTTATGAAGACGTGATTTTTTTTTTCTGAAAAAAATTTTATTAGCTTTACAGATACTATTTGGTGTTAATTTTTATGACTTGGCAGTTTCTCTTACTCAGTGGCATCACAGAATGAAGGAAACAGTATAACAAGAGTAAAAGACCTTTAAATATTTTAAAGCTTTAAATCAGAGATTGTAATATTTGGGAATCTCTTCAAACGACTCTCCCAACATCTCTAACCCATTAACAAAAAACTCTCATTAGATAATGTGTACTTTCCAAATAATTTGAAATCACCTTGATAGGGCTTGTAGGCAAATCATCACTGTGGCTGGAAAGGAAGATGCGAGCAAATGTGCTGTAATTGTACTGAAAGGAGCTGGTCCGAGGGGGTCCTCTCTGGGCGGCTCCCTGCATCGTGAGCTCTGTGGGTGGCATCGGCTTTGGAATAGGAGAGCCTTTTTGAACGGTGATGTCACGCTTACCTTGGGCAGGTGATGTGTCCTCTCTGGGTTTCAGCTTCCTCGTCTGTGAAGTGGGGAAGAGAACTGCCAATCCCCAGACACGAGGAGGAACCCGCAGGTCTCACACTCAGTGGCGCCCGCCGTACACGGCCCTTGTCTTGGTCCACTCGGGCTGCTGGAACAGAACACCGTCCACTGGGTGGCTTCTGAACAACACACATTAATTGCTTACAGTTCTGGAGGCTGGCAAGCCCAAGATCAAGGCCTGGCAGATTGAGTGTCTGGTGAGAGCCCCCTTCCTCACAGAGGGTCATCTTCTCACTCTGACCTCACGTGGCAGAAGGGAGCAGCTAGCTCTCTGGGGTCTCCTTTATAAGGGCACAAATCCCAAACACGAGGGCTCTGCTCTCATGACCTAATCACCTCCCAAGGGCCCCACCTCCCAACACCGTCACATCGGGCCTCAGGTTTCCACACAAGAATTTGGAGGGGGTGGGGTACCAACGTGTGCAGACCGTAGCAGCACTCCCTCCTGACTCCCTTCTGGAACACCTGAACCAGTGGCGAACCCCTTCAGCAATTTGTAAGGCTGGCGAGAGCACCACCGCTATTTCACTCGCATCATCTCTAGAACAGCGCTCCTCCTCCGGGGCTTTTATTCCATCAACGTTTCCCTCTTTTTCCTTTTCTCCACACTTTGTACTTTTGTCTACTGTTTCCTGCCTCTGCTTCTTCAGAAACCTCCTTCCCAACGTCACCCCTTAGGACACAGTCCACGCTCACTTGGATCTTGGGCCACCGCGGACACTTGAGAGGTTGCTGAACCCTTGGACCTCATTTCATAAAGGGCCACGTTTAAGTCACCTCCCATCAATTCTTTTCCGTATCGGGGTAAATTCAAAACATGCTGTAAAAAATATAAAGTTCTTCCTCAAACATGTTCTCCAAACATTAGGGACCCACTTAAACAAGGCCAAATGAAATTATGCTAGATTCAATCAGCACGATGACGGTCTCGCTTAACTCCACACGTTGGGTATTCACCTTTAGGGCCTCTTTCCCAAGCAATGTGGAGACACACAGTGGAAGGTCAGATCATCTATGGTCCCACAGAGCCGAAGGGGCTCGCTGTACAGGATTCTTTGTATTATATGCTGTGCGTTCAAAGTCTCACCTTAGAGAAGTACAGGAAGCATGTTCTGCCTTACGTCAATGTCCTGGAAAGGCAAGGACCTAGAAGCACATTAGGGCTATGTCAGAGTCCTACTTTGGAATGAGAGAATGTTCAAGATGGAAGGCACTAGAACACTCCTACAACTCCCTCATTTATAAATGAGAGACCCAGATAATCATGATGTGCCCTACCAGAATTACATGCCAATAAGTGCTGTAACAGGCAATTTTTTTTTATTGAGTTCATAATAGTTTACATCAATGTGAGATTTCAGTTGTACATTATTTCCTGACTGCCACCATATAAGTGCTCCCCTTCACCCCTGGTGCCCCTGCCCCACCCCACTTCCCCTGGTAACCACTGAACTGTTTTCATTGTTTATATTCCACATATGAGTGAAATCATCTGGTGTTTGTCTTTCTCAGACTGGCTTATTTCGCTTAGCATAATTCTCTCTAGGTCCTTCCATGTTATTGCAAATGGGATGAATTTGTCTTTTTTTCTGGCTGAGTAGTATTCCATTCTACATATATACCACATCTTTATCCAATCATCGGTCGATGGGCACTTGGATTGTTTCCATGTCTTGGCTGTTGTGAATAGTGCTGCAATGAACATAGAGGTGAATATGTTACTTCGGATTGTTGATTTCAAATTGTTTGGGTAGATACCCAGTAGTGGGATAGCTGGGTCATATGGTAGGTCTATTTTTTAGTTTTTTGAGGAATCTCCATACTGTTTTCCACAGTGGCTGCACCAGTTCGCATTCCCACCAGCAGTGTGTGAGGGTTCCCTTCTCTCCACACCCTCTCCAACATTTGTTGTTTTTAGTCTTAGTGATTATAGCCATTTTAACAGGTGTAAGGTATCTTAGTGTAGTTTTGATTTGCATTTGCCTGATGCTTAGTGAGGTTGAACATCTTTTCATGTGTTTATTGGCCATCTGTGTATCTTCTTTGGAAAAATGTTCATCTCCTCTGCCCACTTTTTGATTGAGTTCTTTGCTTTTTTATTGTTCATTTGTAACAGACAATTTTTGTTTTTGGGTGACTGCTTAGGATTAGACAATTCTATTTAGAACCATTGTGCAAGGCAACTAAATTCAAGACATCCAATTCATCCAATTTATTTTCTTTTAGAAATCTGAGTACCCTTACCAAAAGCTAGTATTCACTGAGCTTCAACTAAGGATAACTTGATGGAAAGAATTTGTGTTGAGCAATAGAATTTAAAATCTGATGCAAATTGATCAACGTGCACTTTCTTCCTTGTTTACTTACCTATCTGGTCTTTCTTCCTTGATAAATAAATAAGTAACTGTTACCATAAAGCCTTGTGCTCAGCACCTCATATTTCACCTCTGTAGTCAACCTCAGTCATCAGAGTTAAGCATCCATATCTGTCTCTACAGATGAGGAAACTGAGGTTCAGAAAAGTGAGGTAACCTGCTGTGGTCCCACAGTAAACACCAGTCTTTATTGTAACATGTACGTTATGCCACCTCCAAACATACACGACCCCTTCCAGCACAGACAGCAGTGCTTCTGTGCTCTAAGATGCGTATCCTATTGCACTCAGTTCTAAAATAAATGTAAAATTTGGGGTCTAGCATGAGGCCATCACAAATTCCCTCTTCTGGAGCCCTTAAGAAAGCTTAAGATTTGGATTCCAACTGCTCCCTTGTAAGGGCATGGCATGACTTTGGGCCTTGGTCTGAAAACACCTTTCGCCCAGTACTCCTAAAACAAAGGGCTGAACTCTGTGTGAGCCCTTTATTTTGCACAGAGTGATGGCAGTAACGTGTTGACATAATCACTTGAGGAATTTGTTTACAGGCTAACATGGAGTCCCACCCATGACCCATTCCTTCAGGTGCCCCAAGTTTTGAGACTTCAGATGCCAAGTCTTTGGTTAGGAGGAATTTTCTGGAGAAGGACTGAGGCCCCCTTCCATCAGCACCATCTGACAGATGACTCCTATCAGTTTATAACTAAGACACGAGTCCCACTGCCTGCTGCATCACCCTCCCGCTCCTCGCTAGCACTGCCGCTAAGGGAGGGCAGAGGGAGGGCATCTGGGCAGGAGGCTCCGCTGGTGATGATTCTTTTAAGGCGTAATTACTACTTCCCCTTGGGAATCTTGAGCAACGTTCTACATATTTCATCAAGGAGGACACCCAAATTCCACCCACTTCCCACTTTACCTCATTTAAAAAATAAGCAGTTCTCTCACACATCCGGTCGTTGAGTGAAATATGTTGTGTCTCACTGGCTCAGCCTTCTACTCATTCGCTTGTGCCGTTTCCTGTACTTGGAAGGGTGTCTCCCAGGCAACCTTCAGTCACCACCTACTAAAATGCAGAGCATCTTTGAAAGCTCAGATCAAGCCCACTCCTTCACAGAGCTCTTCATAATCACCTTGCTAGAAGAGTTCTCCCCCAACCCAGACTCTCAGAGTAGTTGGTTTATGTCAGTCTCACGGCCCTCGGCACAACCACCCTGCGCTGAAGTCATCCGCATGCATGTCTGACGTCAATGGAGCAAAGGCTCCTTTGGGGATTAAAATCCTCTCTCATAGATCCCTGTCTGCTCTATACACCTGGCTCGGTCCTCTGGACCAAGCGCTCTCCTAGTGAACCAGGTAACATTCTTCAAAGGTCTGGTCAACACAAGAACAAAAATGGGCAACAGAGGGGACAGTAAGCTCCCTTCAAGTGAGCCTGGATGATCTGAGATGGGGGCAACCACACGATTGCATCTCTGCCACCACTGTATCATCAGTTACTGGGTTCCTCTGCTCGTTCTACAACCTCCAGCCCGGAGCCCAAGCCGTCTTCCAAGACTGATGTGGGGAGAGGGGGAGGCACCTGTTTAAAGGAGTTCACACAAAACCTACGCAGGTACTGAAACAACCTGTGGGTGTGAGTGCAGCACTGCTGTCAGAACTCTGGAGAAATCAGGAGCGACAGAAGACCAGAGACTGAAGACACTGCCCTATTTCCCAAAGGCGAAGTAAAGTAGATTCTAGAAACTCCAGAATGCTGAGTTTACTGTAAAACTCTGGCAAAATCTGTAATAATATAGATGGTAACCATTTTGACCCCTAACAATGGCTGGTTTCTTTTCAACTCTTGATTCAATGCAGTGTCATACCAAACTAACTTCCTTTCCTTTTTTGATAGGCTTACTGGATCAACCAACCCAGGAAATAGTAAAACAATAGTTGATAGTTTAAAGTGACCAGGGGGGTGGACTGAGCACAACACCACCTTGAAGATAACAGCTAACACTTGCATAGTTTATTCTGTGCTAGACCTGGTGCTGAGGGCTTTGTACATATTTAATCTATTTAATCCTCATAATGACCCCAGAATATAGGTACTATCATGCCCACTTGGGCAGCTGAGAAAACTGAGGCAGAGTTAAAGCAATTTGACTAAAGGTCATGCAGGGAGGATGACAACCAGGCAACGTGGCCGCCAAGTGTGCCTTTCCAGGAATGGCAATGTTGCCAGAGGGGAAATGGGAAGGCTCCCTTTGCCATACAGGTGAGCGAGCTTGCCCACTTGTCCACTTCTGGGCAGGAGAGGGAAAGTAGCATGGGAACACAGCTGGCCTTGCTCCACCCCGTGACCCACTCCCTTCTCTGAGGGCGAGAGGTTGACTTTCTGATTGCCAAGACTGGGAGATGCAACTGAGCACACTTTTTGGGCCTGGAAAGGTCATCAGGGCAGAATCTGCGCTTCAAGGGGAGCTTGTAGTTTAAGTGGGTAAATTCCAGGACTGATATTCAAAATATTTTAATAACCAGTTCATCACCAGACCAACAACCAGGGCGGAGGCAGCCATGAATCCCTGGTGTGCTAGTGCCAGCCCTGGTAAGTTTACCTCAACAGGGTTATTAGCCAGGGTAGTTACAGAGCCCTACAGTGGTCTCAGCTTCGCCAATCCAGGTTTTCAGGAAGAGAGGGCCTATTTTGATTTCCATTAGTCTGATTTCTATGTCTTGTTTTTTTCAATTGTTCTGGACTTAGTGGGGAAAGACAAGGATATGAAGATCACCACCAAACCCCCAACAGGCTGCTACACTTTTCAGATAGTATCCCAAATACTAAATGCAGTTTCAGATGACATTTTTAAGATGATACTGACAAACCAGAAGGCACTCAAAAGCTGGGATGATCAAGCCTACACTGGGAACCGGGTGGTATGAAGTTGATGGAAGGAAGAGGGGCCATTCATGTCACTGTTCCCACTGTGGGTGTGGATGGACCTGTAAGGCAGACTAGGGGGAGCCAGGATCTAGGACATGAAATGGTCTTTGGCAAAGAAAGTGATAAGGCTTTGGAAGCAAGGTAGGACCCCATTACTCTAGAGTCGAGGTCAGCAAGCATGGCCATAGGCCTTCTGTTCTGCATCAAGTTTTACTGGAACCCAGCGACGCCCATCCATTTACACATCGTCTATGGCTGCTTTTGCACTCCACAGCACAGTCGGCACAGTTGCAAGTAGACCATATGGCCTGCAAAGCCTAAAATATATACTATCTGGCTCTTTACAGAAAAAATGTGCAGAGCTCTGGTCTAGACCTAGGAAAGTAGCTCTAACAGCCTCCGGGAGTGTGGGAGTGGGGGAAAGGACCAGGGGAAGGGAGGAAAATAAAGGAGTGTGCTTAGAGCTGAGGGCTTTAGTGGGGCAACCTGGAAAAGGCAGGAAGGAGAGAATTAGGGGGGACCCACCACTATGCCTTACTCCTCATGTGAGCTGAGCTACAATACAACCTTTCAAACTGAATTATTTACATCTGTTTGGGTGAGTTCCTAGACAGTGAGGAATGTGGATTTCCCTCCCATCTTTCAGAATTGGCAGCACATAGACACTGTAAAACGCACGCACAGGTCATCAAAAATGTTTTAATGATTAATGTTTAGACATTATTTAACAGTGTGGGTATATCCAGATGAGCGAAAGCACACTCTGATAGTACACTATTGAATGTTCTAGTTTTTGTATTGAAATATGCGAAGACATTCGCAAACTAGTACCTAGAAGGACATACATTTACAAACATACACATTCTAGATTTGATAAGGTAAATGTAAACAGATGCTGTGACTCCTTCCACACAGACAATCCACAAAAGACTAATAAGAGAACCAGTCGGCTCCCTATGATATGAATGTGCAAAATTAAAGCATGATAAACTGGTATTTACATAAATATCAAAACAATTAGTTTATACATTGTCAATGACCTTCTAAGATGTGCCATGAGTGGTTCAATGAATGTGTCCCCCCCACAATGGAGAAGGTATTCAGAGACTAAACTCCAACACTTTAAAATGACACACAAAATAGTCTTCATCTGTTTGACCACTGCCCTCAAGGGTGCAAGACATGATTTTAAGATAAGCAGTCTATCGTTTTGAGATAAGCGGTTCTAAACAAATCTTCAGATTCTAAGCAGAAAAGATGACAGGTGCTATTAGACTGACGTTAAATAAATGATCTCCATCCAATTTCTTATGCTGTAGCTATCTGTTTAACTTTACCTTAAATTTTTTTTAAGGTCCTTCCCCTCCCCCCTTTGTTAATTTTGGTAAGCTAGGCACATTTTAAAAGGAAGTTTGCGTCAAAACAGATAGCAGTAATCAATCCAAATTTAGACCCTGGCCACCAGTTCCCCATTGCTCATCTATGGGACTCTGTCAAACGGTAAATATTCAGTCATCTCTCTTGAAAAGTACACATCCTCTCTCTCAGGAGTGGAAAGCAAAGTGGGCTTTGCTTTCCGTATAAAAACACTTAGTACTTTACAAATTAAAAATGACCTACTCATCCTATACACTTCCTAAAATCTTGAAGACAAAGAATATATATTTAAGTTTCAAGACTGCTTTAGAGCCCCCCGTACTTTTTTTTTTTGTACATTATTAATAGTGGCACTCAAAATAAAAAAATAAGATCTGTTAAAAAGTTAAACTGACTGTTCCACTACATTTGAGGCTTGCCTGATTTAAAGCCAATATTACAAAACCGAAGGTGCCGTTTCTGACTTCACACGTACAAGTCACTTGAAATTACGTGTCACACGTTCGTTTCACAAATCGCCGTCTTTGACTTTTCTAAACAGAGCTATTAAAAACGAATAGAAACTTGAAACATACCCTAATTTAAACTAAAAAGCTTTGGGCCCTGCTTTTTAAATTTTAAGGCATGTGTGTTTCTCTACTGTAACAACGTTGTACAAATTTACAATCACATGCATGATCTACAGTAAAAAAAAAAAGTTTGGAGTACAGTGTTTTTAAATTGTGAATCACAATTCAGCACCTATCATGTTATAACTAATAAGGCAACAGCAGTGTCGTATACTACAATAACGCTCCCTCCAGAGTCTAGCGCAGGGGTCGGAGAGAGTCCAGAAATGTTAAAAATCTTATGCCTACTTGTATAATTGGTGTACGTTTTCTAAGGGTTTGAACTGATGAAAGAGGCCCCACACGAATCTCACTGTAGGCCTAGTTACAGCAGCTGTTCACGAGCGTCGGGCACAACTCATATTGTGCTTACAATCAGACGAAGTGATTTGGAGGTTTGCAACTCTGCAACTTCAATCCTTCCGCTGCTTCCTCAGCTTCACATTGTTCTCCAGGGAGGAAAAGCTGGTGGTGTGTCCATTCACGGCGGCCACCGACCCGTTCTGGTGCTCCCTGAGGCGCTCTTTCCTCCGAGAGGCGCTCTTCTTGTTGTAGGTCTGAAACGCACGAGGGGACAGGGGAGCCACGTGACCCGGGAGCTCTGTGGGGACCGCATCCCTAACTCAAGAAGCAAACTCTCAACGAGTGACTGCCGTAGTCAAGCAACCAAGAAAATGATTCTTGCCACTGGTTTCCCTCTTCCACTTTTTGAGGCTTAGCCTGGGGTAAGTTCACTGAGTCATGGGCTGCAAACATAAATGCTATTTTAAAAATTACATAGAAAATCCAATGACGCTTTACGTGGCTTTGCCCTTTCAGTGTCTGGATGGCAGAGGACAGGGGTTATGTGGCCAAACTGGTTTCTCCCACTTGGTGCCACCTCTCCCATCACTCAACATTGCTTGTCTGCAAAATTAGCTCGTCACTGCAGCAACTATCTCGACCCTGCGTACCAAGTGCTCTGCTGCTATCTGAGCAGTTAAAACAAGTGTGATTTCAGTTTCGTCATGGCCTATCCTGTAACCTCCCCTACACCTGGTGAATGCCAAGTGTGGCATAAACCATGAGCCCAGCAGTATATGAACTCAACTCAAACATGCCAGGCCCAGGGGTGGGTGATGAATGGCGCAGGCGGGCAGAGGGAAACATGGCTGAGCCCCAGGTGGCTGCTCGACACGACCAGGCTTCCCTGCGTCTGCCTCCGTCTGCCCACCCTTGTTCCTGACTCAGTGTGCCTGCTCTGGAGCCAGGCACTGCAGGAACACATGTCATCCAAGGGGGACAGGAGGGAGGGGAATCAGCAGTGGCCACACAGTGGTCAGGATCCACCGGAGATAATCTGCCCTAAATGGACCTTTCTGGGAGGAGAAACCTATCGTCCATCACCCACTTGGGAATGAACGGAGCCCCCAGACCTGAGCAACGGATGTGTAAGGAAAGTGGGACCAACAGGCGGATTTCTCCCTACAGCAGAGGACCGTGATGGAAATTTCTTCCGACATTTAATTTAGCCACGAAGTTCAGGGCAGCGCAGCTGTGAGACTTTGGATTGAAATCTCCTGTCGCACATCTGCAGAAGCCAGAGAGAAGCAACGCGGGAGCCCGTGGAACAGTTCTGCTTTTCCTACACGAATCCAAGCTTCCCGTGCTAAAGATCTAGAACTCTGAGGGTCTAGGACAGGCGGAGCATCTCCTCTGCTGGCAGTAACCCGGCCCCCTCCCGAAAGCAGGGCTGCCCTGTGACTGAATTAGAGCCTAGCACACCGCGGGGGCCCCACACATCCCCCTTAAGGGAAGGGATGGGGCCTTTGCTGAAAAGTTCCAAAATCCCAATTGCCATAGAAGAAGGAGATTTACCTGAATGTAGAAGTTTGTGAAGAGAGCAATCAGAGAAATCATGTATCCAATCTGGAAATACAACCAACCGAGAGGGAACGTACACGGCCAGATGACCCCACAGCTGGTCTGGATGATTGTCAGCACAAACTGAAGCTGGTGGAGAGAGGGGACACAGCTGAGCAGCGCAGTCACAGCCCACAGCCGAGACGAGATGCCCTGCCCGGCAGGCTCCCTACCCAGCATCCCCCGAGTCTGAATTCACTTATGAACCTCTCTAGGTGCAGAAGCCATTTCATGAACACGATGCATACACTAAATTTATTCTGAACTACATATACGTCTGTGTTTATCTTATATTCTCTTCCTCCTCTTTCGAGCTACTTAAACCATCTCTAAATTTCAGGGAACAATCAACAACACTGTATGGTAGATTTGAAAGTTGCTAAGAGTGTGGATCTTACAGGTTCTCATCACAAGAAAAAAACGTTGTAACGGTGTATGGTGACGGATGTTAACTAAACTTACTGTCCTAATCATCTTGCAGTATACACATATATCAAATCCTTATGTTATACACTTTAAACTTACACAATGCTATGTGTCAATTATATCTCAATGAAGCGGGGGGAAAAAGAAAACTTGCGAGAACAAAAGACACACACAAAAACTTCAGGGACAGTATATAGAGGCAAGTTGTTTTTTTTTTTTTTTTTAATTTTTTTTAAGGGAGGAAGGAAGGGTGTGGGGTCTTATGTTACAGGGAACCGTGATGTCGCTGTGGGATGCTCAGTTCTGCTGGACATTGTTACTATTCCTTATCCATGTATCTTTCTGGTTTGGTTAAGGCTGGTGAACAGATTTAAACTCTTACTGGGATACAACGCTAAGTCCATAGACAATTTCTGCCGAGTAAATCTTGAAAAGCAGGTGGAACTGCTTGGAGAAACGGGGAAAAGGTGTTAAAGTAGGGTGTGGCTACTGGAGGGTGCATCTTGAAGAGGACTAACAGCAGAGGGCTGGGTTCTGCCCAGCTCCCAGTATTTCTACATAGAGAACTGGGTTTTTCTTTTTCTTCTCTCTTTTCAGGTAAGTCCTTTAGGCTGAGAAATGATTAGGAGTGATGCTTAAGAGAAATCTACGCAAACTGGTGGAATCTTCCACCTCAAGGGCAGAGCCCGATGGAAGCCTGACCTGCCCAGTCTGTTCTGCTCCATCCCGCCTCGGCAGAGCCATGGCGGTGTGCTCACCCCATCTGTGCATCGCCTCTTCTCAAGTGAATGAGGAGGTCAGAGACATTATCCTTCCTCGCAGGTGGCTTGAGAAAAGTTAACAAGGACAGTACAGCAGCTGGCGAGAGGCGATAATGAAATGTCAAACCCGTAAGTAGCTTAGAAGAGCTTCTCAGGTTTTTTCTCTAGATTGCTATTTTTAAATACTGAAAACTCACAACTGACTAAGAGGATCTGAATCAGCTGGGTTTCTTTGGAAAAATGTATTCATAAGGCAAGGCCGAGGCTAAAGGTTTAATGTCTGAACGCCCCAGTTGGCTGCCTTTGGCCTACTGCCTCAGTGGCCTCCTCTATAAGATGGGGATGATACCACGAAATCAGGCTATTGGGACAATTCATGCAAAACCGTTTACTCAGCGTGAGCACCCGGCACAGTCAACTCAACAAATGTCAGTGTTTAATGTTACTCAGAACAGTGTTAATGATTAGGTCATGAAAGGATTCATGAGTGAGAGCAACAGGGATCTATAATGTCCTCACATCTGGGGAAAGCTTAAGAGAAGTGGGGTGAGAAATAACCACCGAGTGCCAATAGTTGCTGGGCAGGCCTTGGCGGGCCTTGAGAAGGGGCTGTCACCTGAAGCACAGGTGCCATTCTCACCCACAGGCGCTCTGCTACACGGGGGTGGAAGGCTCGCGCAGCGCCTGCCTTAGCAGACATCCTTACTAATAAGCTATGAGCGCCTGGACTCGCCACCCTCCAGCTCCTGCTGAAGCCCCTGGGAACACAGTCTCCTCTTTGGACTTTGACTATAATTTAAAAACCTGCACACACGTGCTTCGAGCACAAACTAAGAACAAAGGACTGAACTTGAAGTCATGAAATTAGATTCTAGCCCGCCGTCTGCACCTCAACTAGCTGTACACCCATGGGCACAGATTCTCCATCAGTTAACATTAGGAGAATTCCCTGCTCTGCCCACTTCAAGAAGGTTAATTAGATCAATGGGAAAGGGTGGGAAAGGCACATTAGACGCTATTAAGCAACAACAATAAAGCCGGGAAGGGAGCAGAGCATCCCAGGAAGAAGTCTGTGCCCCCCAGGCTCCAAGTCCTGGGGGAAGAGGCTGAGTCACTCACCAGCTGCCCCTGAGTGATGTACTTCTTCCACCAAAGGTACGGACGCATGGAAGGGATGGACGACAGACCATAGTACGAGTACATGAGGACATGGATGAAGCTGTTCAGTGTGGCACCAAAATAAGCTGCAGGAACAGATGGGATTGGGGGCACGATGCATCAGTGTTTTATACATAACAGGTAAAAAAAAAAAAAAACCACGACTCTTTTTAAATCCAATAAAAAGATGATTTTGAACAGAGGCTGGAAACCCTGCAGTACTGGCAAGCACTGCATGGACCTGTAGTCAGAATTCAATTCCCGCTGGGCAGGCAGCCATCTAACACAGGAGTCAGGGGACCACCTGCCCCACTGTGGCACTGAAGGCTTTGCTGTCAGAGCCACCCGCTTTTCTTTACATGCCCTAGGGCCTCAGGCCACTGCGTGGATGGCTCAGGGAAGACAGCCAATGGATAAGATGCTCAAAGCCGGCTGTGTCTACACATTTGCTGAGGTTTGGAGAGGTCTTTGAGGTCACCTCCTAATTAATCCCCAGGACTGCAGGCCTGAGGCCATCTATTTTTATTAATAATACAGTCCAGAGTCCAGTTCCTTAGAGACAAAAGGCTCCTCTTTTATCAAATGATTTTTAATTTCTAGTAGGACCACCAGTTCTTTTTTTAGACTCTCTGGCCGCCCCTCCAACAGCAGGCAAGCAAACAAAGCTATGTGGCTTTTCCACGTGCAGTCAGATGTACACATGGCTGGGGATGAAGACGGAGTTTCTACTCTGGGCTGTGACCATCAGTGGCTGTGCAACCCCAGATAAGTGACAGCCATTCTCTGGTTGTTTCTCAAGGGCTGGGGGGGGGGGGGGGGGCTAGTTAAAATCTGTCATCCTACAGGTTCTTTGAAAATGTGAAGCACTCTTCAAATGGGAGGAGGCGCTGTTTCTATTAGAAGGTTAGGTCAGTTAATCCTCAGCCATGAGGTGTGATGCTGGAGGAAAATCACCAGGGAGAGAGGGAGGGAGGGAGGGTCCTGGAGGCCCCAGCCCTGCCCACACTTCTACCGGCTCAGTTTTCTCCCAATCTGAGAGGGGCTGTGTATGGCAAGTGCTTTCTAGTTCTAAAATGCTGTGACTGTGTGCATCCCGGTGGGCCGAGTTACCAAGGGCGTGCTAGCTACCCTAGGAAAAAACATAAGTGACCAGACCCAAAGGTTCTCAGTCAAACTCGTGTGGGTCAGACGGCAGGAACTTTGCGACAGTTGTTAGAACTCCCAAGCTGAATGTGAAGGTAATGACAATCTCTGAAATTTTTAAGAGACTTCAGAGCATGAGCTTTAGAAAAACCACACACGTCCTTAGAGAATTCACTTCAAATTGTGGTGCCTGTCATGGAAGACAGCCTGCTAAGTGTGCTTCGCGGACCACAGAGGGTCACTATGTTAGATACGAGCGGCCTTCCTAAGGCACCCCTCAGCGACTGCTGCACTGTCATCTGCCTTGTTCTCTGGGGCTCACTCAGTGGTGTCATTCCCTCTTCCTGGCCTGTCCCTGTCAGTCAAACACCTTCCAAATTGCGGAGAAACAAGAATGAGAAATAATCTGGAACAGCTGCCCTCGATGAGGGACGGTGACACCCCTATTTCTTAATAGGCCCCAGGTTGGGAATCTGGTACTTCCCTCATCTTGCCACATCAGCAACAGGACAGTTTAGTAACAGGATAGTTAGTTACTAAACTAGAAAAGGGTTTTGTCACCTCATTGAGTGCACAGGCCACACAAACTATCACTACAGCCACTGGGACACAAGGTTCAAGGCTTGACCCAGAAGGCGACAGAAACAGCACCGCTTCTCAAAGCTTTTGTTTCGATTCATCAGAGCCCCACACCTCATCCCCAATACCCCCCACCCCACCCCGCCGAGGGCTTACAGTGGCCACAGGGGACCCAGTTCATGACAAACCACCAGATGTTCAGCATGGTGGCGTGGTGGTACACGTGCAGGACCGTGATCTGGTGGTTGTTCTTGCGCAAGATGAAGAAGAAGGTGTCCATGAACTCGATGAGTTTGGAGAAGTAGTACCACCAGAGGACTTCGACGATCTGAGGGGAAGGCATCGTCAGTGTCTCTGAAGGACCACCTCGCACGCGCTTCACTGACATCCCACAATACCCCACGTCCACTCGGAGAAGCCCGAGTGGCGCCCAGCTCCTCAAGTCCTGCAGCAGTGGGGAGCTGTGGTCACTCCGTGAGGGCCTCTGACCGAAGAGCAGGACGCGGGACAGCAGGGAGGGTGGAAATGACAAGAGGGAAGGTTTTAAAAGGGCCACTGCCATCCTTCAAGACGGAGAACAGGAGGCTCAGAGTTCAAAACCCTGAAGTCTGCCGATTTCCCTCGGAAGGAGTCTGCAGAGCATCACACAGAAGAACCGCCAGAGAGGCGCCTCCGATCTCAGGTGCGGGCGTGGGGCAGGTGACAGGACACGGGGCAAAGAAGAAAAGGAACAAGAACTCCCAGCGTCAGGTCCCCGCCCAAGGGAATATGTCAAATGGCACTCTAAGGAAACGACTGTCCGTGCTGAGCCCAGACCAGGAGGCTTTTATTTAAAAAATACAAAACACTCAAGAGTGGAGGTCGGAACCTACAGACCACTACTCGGGGGCGCTCAGAGACAGGAAGGACACCTTTAAGAGATCATTCTTAAATCCTGTTCATATAATACAGCATTAACACTGATACAAGCACGCAACTGTTTTTCCTGGAAACTTAACAGGACTGACTTTTGCAGAGAGGGAAATTTTAGTTTCCCATTTTGTACTTTTCATGTTGTTCCAATTTTCAGACCATGCACGCATACTGCTTTCTTAAATTCTTTTAAAACTGTTAACACGGATCACCTGGACAGTGAGGTGATGAGCCATTTCATCTTTTGTACAATTTATTAAAAAAAAAGAAAAACTACTTAAAAAAAGACAATACCTTCATATCTGCTTCTCCCGCGCTGCGTGTGCCTTGACAGAAGAAGTTGTAATTGTTTTCCCATACTCCTGTCACTAACTAAAAAAGGAAAACAGGAAAAAGGAGAAAGCCAATCACCAACAATATCAGAACCAGCAAAGCCCTATGCAGTCAAACCCTATGCATTAGCGCAGAATCCGTGCAAACCGCCCTGGGGCTGTGCTGAGGCCGTTTGCTCTGAGGAAGAAACACAATGCTGGGGAGGTGGATGAAGGGGAGTTTAGTGACGTGAGCCTCAATTTCACAGGGATGGGCGTGCTTACAGATGAAGGGGTCACTCTTTTACAAGCTGCCTCTCCCCAAGACCCTCAAGTCCCTCGGCTATCACCACTGCCCTGTCAATTCCAGGGCCCTGGCCCACTCCATCACAGGCCCCCATCCTGCCCCCAGCGGTCTCACTGGGGGAATCACACGTCACAGTCAGGCTTTCCCTGGGCCAGCGCTTCTCAAACGTGAGCGTGCAGCACCAGAATCACCTCAAAAGCACCTTAAAACGCGTCACTGGGGCATTTCAGATCTAGGAGTTCTGGGGTGGGGTCCCAGAATGCCCACCTCTAACAAGTTCCGGGGTGGCACTGCTGGTCTAGAGATGGCACTTGGAGAACCGCGGCTGTAAACCTGGAGATAATGTAGTCCCACCTCATCATCATTATTTCCTATTGCTGTGTCAACCCCAGGATCCATGAATTTGACCTCTGCAGGCTGAAGGAATCGTGCCCATGCCTTAGAATTCACCTGCAGCAGAGTAAGCACTGTGGGGTGACAGGAAGGACCCCAGTACCGAGTGCAGGCTCTAGGTTACAGACCTGCAGTCACCAGCTCGCTGTGATGGTCTCAGTTTCCTCCCATGCACACAGTGAGGACACCTGGCCACCGGAGACCTAAGGCCCGCTCTCACAGTGCAGGGAGAAGGCTGAATTTGACCATCCTGTGCATGTCCACGCTGTGCACCATGTTCCGGCCAACACCTACAGGATGCTGCTCTTTGTGCATGTACTGTCAACTGCAGCTGATTCCCCCTGATGCCTGGGGTGACCTTGAGTTTTCCTGGCGACTTCCCTGCTGGTGGTCAAGTGGTGGCACATGGGGAGAAATCTGAGGTGGCCCGCCTTGTGCCTGATCTCATCTGGCTACCCGACACAAGGACCTGGCCACTGGGTCTCAAAATGTGGTTCTCAAAGTGTTCCCCAGCCCAGCTGCATTAGCATCATGTGGCAACTTGTAAGACATGCAAACTCTTGAGCCAGAATCAAAACTAAGAGTGGACCGTCAAGGCAGGGCCTCAGAGTCCAGGATCACAGATCCTTTGAGAATCTAACACTGTGGTTTACAAAGTGTGGTCCTCGAGGCAGCAGCATCAGGAGCACCCAGGAATTTGTCAGAAATACAAAACCTCGGGCTCTACCCCAGACCCAATGAACGAGAAATTTCTGGGCGTGAAGTCTAGTGGTGTGAAACAGGTCGTTTCACAGGTGAGTGTGACGCAGCTGAAGTTTGAGAATCACGGCTTTAAGCTGTGGTTCTCATTCCAGCTGGACAAGAGGATCACCTGGGGAGCTTTTAAAACTTACTAAAGCTTGCCTTCCCCCAGACGATCAAACCCGAGTCTTCAGGGGCCTTTCACCCAGCTCTAATGTGCACCCAGGAGTGGGAACCACTGGCTTCAGGCTCTCAGCTCAAATCAACAGTTGGCCTACCGGTGCCGCCAGGAAGATGGCACTGAGCCTCAGGCCTCAAGAGCCTCCGGCTGCCCGCACACTGTCCTTGACCACAGTTTAGTTGGGGGAGCGACACAGATGCCCTCAGGGAGCATCAGGGGATCACAACACTTCCACCCAGACTCACTCAAAAATCGATGCCACAGTGGGTGTGTCACCGACTAGTCACCCAAGGAACTCAAAGGTGGGTTTGGATATTTTAACTGTTTCTCCAGATTATTCTTTTTCCTTTTGTTATGTTAAGGAGATGCAATCAACAACCACCCTGAACCAGACCAAGCCTCGCCAGAGAGCTAGGCCTATGACCTTTTCCTTATTTTTTATGCTAAGATCTCTCCAGGAGGTTCGGCCTCATTACCGTCACCTGCAGGGTACGTGTCGTGGAAGCATGTTTTCCAACTGAGCCTGCGAAAGCGAATACCACCTCTCCCTTCTGAATATTCATTCTCCATCCGAAATAAATGTCCCTGCTTCCCCTTGTTCGGGGTTGCCATAACTTTGGAAATGATTCCGCGTGCTCTCCTATTTGCTGCAAATATACTTTACTTTGTGAGACGGCTGGGTGGAGAGTCTGATTTAACTCGCCCGGAGGGAACCCACTTGGGTTTCAGTAACAGGTGCGGCCCCCACACTCACACTCAACACCCTACTCAGAATCTGATTCCTCTTCTATTAACTTCCTTTTATTTTCCTTCTGCTTTGTTACCTTCTACACATTAAAAAAGCATTAAGAGTTAACAGGTTTTCACGGCCCAAGACCAGCAGAGGGATTCAGACTACACCGGAGGTGGGGCATCAGCTTATGAGGAAAAGAACCCTGGATCAGGGAGCACAAGATGGGGGGCCGGGGCTAGACAGACAACCATCTCCATCAGGGTCCAGCACCTGAGACAAGCCAGCTGATTCCCTAGGCCTTGGTGGTTTTTACTCTAAGAGCATGAGGTTGGACTCAATTACCTTGAAAGATTCAGTTCTCATTTGCTACAATTTCTAGGTTAAGACTTTCTGAAAACACACAAACTGTACTACACTGTCTTTGAAAGACCAGAACCCACAGGACATTCATTAGAAGGTATGTTAGGTGTCTGGTCTTACACGACTCTCTAAAGTCACAGCCAGGAAAGCACACCCAGGCAGCCCTATCAGAAGTGCCGAGCATTAAGGTCCACAGCCCAAGTCCCAGGTGGAGTTGGCGGGGAGCACATGCTGGCCTGTGCGTGCTCAGGAGACCGGGGTGGAGAGAAGGAAAGAAGGAAGCGCTGCCCTTTCTTCTACCCCTCGAGGGACCGGATGAATTACGTTCTGTGGCTGGAGGGCACAGAGAGGGAACTGATGGTTCTTGATGAAATTCTCACAGGACGACCGCAAATGAGAATAATAAGGACGACACTGCAAAGTTTTCATGAAGATAAATCTGTGCAATTTAAAATATACCTTTATTTAAAACAACAGCCTTACTCGGCAAAATTAAAAATTGACTAACATGATTGTCCTTCTTAGGGATGCTTTTTATCACCTTATGAATCTAAAATTCTAGGACTCTCTGACACATGCCTCCTTTCTTTGAAAATGTCTTTCAGAAGGAATCCAGGCAGGATTGCCTTGACTCTTTAAGCTAATTAACCTAAAATTCTCTTTGCCCCTCCCCTCATAAATGGAAAGAAAAATCCCTGTATACACCACCCACTGTCTTTGGAGGCTAAAGCACTCGAACCCAGGAGCTGGGTGGTGAACTTCCCAACACTGAAGCAGAAAGCAGGTACCCGATCCAGAAGCCGCTCAGTCAGCACCACTTCCCGGCCCCGAGGCCACCATCCGTCTTCTCCCTGGACAGGCTCCCCATGGGAGCTCTGCCACACACCCTGGATACTGCTGCCACTCGGCACTTCACTTCCGCTGGGGCCTCGAGCTTCTTCAAGCCATTGACCTCTGTGTCAAAACTCTGCAGTGTCTCTCAGTGCCTTCAGAATGAAACCCCGAGCCCTAGGCACAGTACTCGGGTGTTCACATTCTTTTACACTGCAGCTCCAAGCTGATCCCTATCTTCCCTTCCTCCCTCACCTACAGTCAGACAAGCGTGCCTTTCCTTACTCACCACACAGTGGCCAAGGGGCCAGCACAGGGCCAGGCACCAGCTAGAAGGGGGTTTGAATCCTAGCTTCCCCGCGTTTAGCTAGGGGACCTTGGGCAAGGTATCTCCATTTCTTTAGGCCTCAGTTTCCTCACTCCAACAGGATGAAAACAGTATGCTTGCCTGTTGAGGCTGCCGAGAGCAGTTAACAAGATAAAGTGTGCAATGCTTATCATCCCCAACCCGGTCCCTAGGATAAGCACGATAAACGTGAGCAACGACCATTACTCTACTCTTTTCACCTGAAATGCTCTCTGCACCCATGCACCCCCAATTCCAGCTCTTACAATCCCATCCTTCAAAGTTCAGTTGAAATTCTATTTTCTTCATGACTGCTTCCTTGAACGCTCCAGCCTGAAGTCTGTTCTCCCCCCGTAAGCTCACCCTGCCATGACTCGTAGGTATTTGCTCATATGCTCCCTGTAAGCCCTTTGTTAATGGGTCTGTTTTAAGCTCTTCTGTCAACAATTAGAGGTGGTGACTGTGGCCCCAGTGTCCACAAAATCCAGCCCGGGGACTTGTACACAAGAGGCACCGAACAAATATTTGCTAAATTAATGACAAAGAATTCAAGGCTCTGCTTTTGTCCCCGGAATCTAGGCCTAACGTTTTATTTGCAGCCAAAAAAAACCCCACTTCATTTCTGCTTGGCAAATGTCGAAACTGAAATACAAAAAAGCATTTTCATGAGGCTTGAACGTGGACGATACTCATCTGCATTCTATTCACAAGACTAAAACCAGCCCTCACCAAAGGTCATCCTGGTGACATGGAAAGTTCAATTCTCAAATATCCTTGGCTTCAGAAGGGACAGAATAATTTAACACATGAGGACCAAGTATCTGAGTTCAAGTTTATTCATCAAAGACTCTCAGTAATCCTCCATACACTGGCCAGTATCAGGGTCCTGTGGCCACTGCAGACCGCAGGCTGAGGGCCCAGGAGGCTGGATCAAGGAGAGGCACTGAAAGCAAGGGCAGGTCTCTGCCTCAGGCTTCTGGGAGCCACCAGCTTGGAGGAGGACAGGACGGTACTCCAGTGAAAAAGCAGGCCACAGGGAAGAGCCTGCCACTAACTACGCAGTTCCTGATACCACCAACTACTCCAGGAGCAACCGAGGGAGCCTTATGCACCCCACCTGGCTTTTCCAAGTAACCAAGATACAAAGAACAGCACTGCAAACCACATGT